TGGGATCCGAACCCTTGGTGGGAGCGCTGCCGCGCTTCCCAAGCGGTGCACTGTAGCAGTGCGCCACCGGGCCGGCCCCGTTACCTTTAAAAAAAAAAAAAAAAAATAGAAAAGGGGTCCATCCCCAGGGCCTACCGCCATGGCCCAGAGGGTGGTACAGTCTTCACCATGCACAACTGCACATTAATACCAACTGGACCAAGTACAAAACAGTGTGGGTTGCGAGTATGAATGGAGCCTCGGGGAAGACTTAAACAATCATTTTGGAAATTGCTACGTGAACTATAGTTACTATATTTTCCCCTTTTATTCATCTTTGTATCATTAGGAGTCAGACCTAGAATTAGCTGTTTAGTTCTAGGCTCAAGGATCTCTGACAAAATGCCCCTTTCCCAAAAGTGACTGTAAAATTGGAGAAGCATGGGAAGGGGAAGAGCCTGAAACTTCTGTGTTAAAATGTAAGGAGTATTTAAAAAAAACAAAATAGTGTATATGTGTGTATCACAATGATACATGTTCATTTTAGAAAATATAGGTAAGCATAAGCAAAAAAATTATTACACATAATCTCTCCCCCCCAAAAGATAATAACAAGTCACATTTTTGTGTATATTTTATTTTTCTGAAAAAAATCGTTTTTGGGGGGTGGTGGCTGGCTGGTATGAGGACCTGAACCCTTGACCTTGGTGTTATAATACCATATACTAGCCAACTGAGCTAACTGGCCAGCCCCTTTGTGTATATTTTTAAACGTTTGATTAAAGCCAAGTGTGTATGATAACTTCCTGGAGCACCCATCACTATTTTTGCACTTACCAAAATGTATTATTATTATTATTATTGGGGTTTTTTTTGGTGGCTGGCCAGTCCAGGGATTGAATCTTGGTGTTATCAGCACCAAGCTGTAACCAACTGAGCTACTTGTCCAGTCCACTTACCACAGTGTGTTATAATCACTATTATTGCACTTACCACAGTATATGTCTGTCTCCTGTGTAGATACAAGCCCCTAAAGGTAGTTCTGTTTTATTCCTTGGCACATTAGTAGGTGCTCTACAAATGTCTGTTAAATGCAGGCAGAGGCCTGCCTCTTGTATACATAGGACTCTGTGAACCCTAAATGGTACAGAAGTTATAGGCTAGTAGTTCTCAAACCATATCCCTACTGAACCTTGCTGCTCCACCAGACTAAGATATCTGCAGCCAAAACTGAAGATTAATGCTTTTTCCACAATTCACAGAAAAAGTTAGGTGAATGTATAGAAGTCAGTGTTAAGTTTTTATTCTGTATGGGTTTTTTATTAAAACTTTTGTACCTGTTAGCACATGACAAAGTGAATAAACATGTGGCAAATGAATATTTCAGGCAAAGAGGCTTACATGTAACTTATTAAAAATATTTTTATAGGGCTGGCCAGTGGCTCACTCGGGAGAGTGTGGTGCTGATAACACCAAGGCCACAGGTTCAGGTCCCTATATAGGGATGGCTGGTTTGCTCACATGGGAGAGTGTGGTGCTGACAATACCGAGTCAAGGGTTAAGATCCCCTTACTGGTCATCTTTAAAAAAAAAAAAGAAAAATTTTTGTAAATTATGGAGTCATGGAGATTGAAAATATGTAATAGTCATATTTTCTGTTGAAAACGCAGAGGCTAATTTTTGCAGTGGAATTAAATGTTTTTATTTTGTGGTTGTATTATGATTCTCCGGAGATCCAGAACCAATATTTATATTTAAATATATATATAGTGGGATTTATTATAAGGAATTCACAAAGGGCTGAGCCCGTGGCGCACTGGGAGAGTGTGGCGCTGGGAAGGCAGCAGCGCTCCCGCCGCAGGTTCGGATCCTATATAGGGATGACCGGTGCGTTCACAGCGCTCACTGGCTGAGCACAGTGCGGCCAGTCTCAAAAAGGACAAAAAAAAAAAAGGAATTCACAAAAATACTTTAATAAGGTACATTTTAGCCTGTTTGCCTCTAATATTAACTTGCCTTGCATGGAGAAATTGTTCTCTTGTTTGCCTTTGAATAGTAGTGGCAAAGGGTACTTGAGTTCCATCGGTGATTGCAACAGGTCCCTTTTCACCATAGGGACTTGCAAAAGGTATCAAAAATGAGGGGACTAGGAGAAGAATTGGCTGGAGGGGAATATACTGAAAAGAGAGAACTGACAAAGGGATGAGGGAAATGCATCTTTCAAGGCTGGGGAGAGCGTGGGAGCTAGGAGGACCAGAGGATGGAAGGGAACAAATTTACCTGGAGGAGCTGCAGGGGGCCCAGTGGTAGGCTGGGGAGCTGTAGGGCTGTTGTCGTTCTGCACCTGAGGGCGTAGATTACATACTCAGACCCTGCTTCCACTATGCTTCTTGGCATGATCCGTCCTCCTTTCCCACCATAATGGCCATGTGACTCACCGCCTTGTTGGGTGCCTGCTGGGTGTTGTACTCTGGGTTTGGCTCACTGAAGTTAGGAACCTCAGAATAAACCATACAGAATCTGCAAGGGAAGAAGTAGCTAAAGCCTTGGACCCATTCTCTGGGTAACTGCTGGAGGCATTAGAAAAGTCCAGATACAGGGCTTAGACTGCACACTCTTATGCTGCTTCCTTGCAAACCTTAACTCTTCCCCCTTGGGCTGGTGCCTCTTCATCCCAATCCCCAAGACAGCACTTACTCTCCAATCTTTTGCAGATCACCCCCACGGCCAGTGTACAGTGTCAGACAACCTTTGAACACTGAAGCATACCTGTGGGGGCAGAAAAAGCAAGATTCAGAGTATTCAAAAGAGTTACAGGGACTGTTAACGTCACTCCCCTTGAGTGTTGCTGCCCTTGGATAGCCAGGAGTCACCAGCTGGCTTACCCTTTGGTGAGCCGGATAATGTCCCCAGGCTGGATCAGGTTGCCCACGTCGTCCCAGACGGAGATATTGATGCTGCCCGTTTTGTCTGCCACTTTGCAGGTCCGAACCTCGTGCCCGTCCTTTGTCTTGGTCACTCGGCCTGAAGGGAACAGATAAATGGGGGTGGGAGAATGGTCTAATGGGGGTGTGAGAATGGTCTAATATACGGGGTGGCAGTCAAAGGGATGAGATCTGGATATTGGTGGGGTGAGCGAAAAGGTGCACAAACAGGGCAAAGCCCAAATCCCTGGAGCAGGAGGGGGTTGGGGGCTAGTGGTGTTGGTAGTGGAGGGGCCAGCACCATGGAGAGGGCCCTGAGTGGAAAGAGGCCTGCGTGGCACTGGAGGCATGAATCTGGAAAAAGTTCTATCTACCCTACATCGGACTGCAACTCTCTGTGCCAGGGTCTAAGAAAGAGATTGGGAGTGAGCGGTATCTTGGGGCGCGCCCTGCCATCCCCGCACAAGTTAAAAATGTAGGCAGTGTTCTCACCACCCCCACCCCACGAACCCACCGCCTCAGCATAGCCACCTGTCTCCAGAACAATGAAGATAAGGTTCAGATTCTTGAGCCCGGGCTTGATATCCTTCACGAACGTCTCCGTCGTCATGCTGCCCAAGCCTTGGCACCCCACTGGAAGGGAGATCAGGGGATGAAGGCTCAACGCTTGGAGCCTTTGCCCCCATGCTCCACTTCCCAAGGCCTACCTACCACACTAGGCTGGGGTCAGGCAGCCTTAACCCCTCCAACCCTTCTAAAAGGTTAGAAACAAACTTCCTCGGAGGCCTCCAACTTCAAGATCAGAATTTGGGGGTCTCTGGATAGGCGGCATCGGGGCTGGAAGGCCCTCAGCGAGATGCCCCTTCAGTCTCAAGCCCCGAGGTAGGGGAGCCAAAGGAGACAGCGGTAGGGAAGCCGGTGCAGAGCCAGGGAATGGAATCTTACTCGCCAAACCTTCCCGAACCCTCATCCGGACAACCCCGGACTCGGTCCATCCCCTCCCCTAACCAAAGCCCACCACCCACCCAGCCAGCAGGCCGGACTATGCACGCCGCTGAGCCGCCCGCAGGGGGAGCCACAGGCCCCGCTACTGCCGGATGCTGCCCTGTGGAACGCCGGAGTGCTAACATTACCGGAAGCTTCTCCCGACTGGCCTCCTCCGGCCAATCAGCACCGCCCGGGCGCGCCCAGCGTCCTGCCGCCTGCCCAGCCCAGCCAATCGGGATCAGAGACTCGCGCGCCGCGAAGGGGGCGAATTTCAGGTATTAAAGGCGCCTAGGAGATGGTTGGCTCCGTAGGGAGAAAGATCGACCACCAGAGGGCGCCTCAGGCCCCAAATTTCATTTACTTGGCTGGGAGAATGCACTTAGGCTCTCAGATTTTGTTTCTCTCCAAGGAGTGACACTGTGGGAAAAAGACCAAGGGCTTTGGAATCCGGCGGACAAGTTTGAATCCCGGCTCAGCGCTTCACTTCTTTTCACGACAATTATTAAATATGTAATTCCATTTTACAGATGAGAAAAAGGTAATTACATAAAAAGCAGTGCTTAGCACACAGTAGGAGCTTAAAAATAAGTTTCCTCCTCCTCCCACTGCTCTGACCCTCATCTTTATTCCTGATTTAGGGTCCTCGTCTTTAACAACCCAGTTCGGTCTGGGTTAAAGAGCCTTTGGAAAACGTGTCATTCACTCTAGAGACAGACAACAGGCAGACTCACCCCCTTTGGAAAAAATGGAATTTGGGGATAGAAAGCAACATTCGCTTGGTCCCTCTCTTAGTTCCCAAGGTACCTATTCCTACTGCCCATATTAACATCACTAGATCTGAGTACCCCCAAAGGACCAAAGAGAGGAGGCCTGAAACTTTAGTTTCCTGTGGGAACTGTCAACCAAAGGTAGCTCGTTCTGTATGGTGTATAAACCAATTACATAAAGAGATACCAGTGTGCATTACCATTTGCTTAGCAAATATTCATAACAAATACTATTTAATATCAGATGAGCCTAAGAGGTCATGAAATTTTAATGCCTTGGCTTGCTTAATCCCTTACCTTCTCATAGAGTGCCTTAGGCGTCACCTTGACTTCTCTTAGAGCCCAGGTTCTCTCCCACCCTCGCCCCCACCCACGGTGTTGTAACCTAGGGAAATCAAACCGCAGCCCAGGAAGAGGGACATTTTCTTTCACTTCTCCCCCCTTAGGTGTGTCAGGGAACTCTACGAGTGTTCAGGGAGCCACCGTGGATACGACAGGAGTGCAGCTGGCAGAGAGGCGGACAACACGTTTACCATCAGATCAAAGCTCTGCGATCACACTCCCCCACTCTCCACCCCACGGCCGCCTTGTTAACTGCAATATCCATTCCAGTGACTTGGAGTCATAGGGTCGGGAAGCTCTGGGATGCTGACCACGGCTCTGGAAACGGGAGAGGGGATAGGCGGACGGCAGGCCACACTACAGGCCTGCCTCTTCGCGACGATCTCGCACCACTTAGCATCAGCTCTAGGACGAAAGACATGTGCGCCCCTGCAAAACGAAGCGTTGCCTTCCAGGGGAGTCCGCCCAGAATCTTTCCCTGACGTAGACGGCGGGAAGATCATAGAGTTCTCCCTCCCAAATGGCTATACAGACCTGGCGGGGACCATAAAGACTTCCGGCCTAGAGCGGAGGCCCGACTAGCCTTTGTCCCGCCTCGTTGGTCGCTCGTGACTTCTTGTCTAGGTCTGAGTTAAACAAAGAGGCGGAGTCTGGTGACGAGTTCCGCCGGGTTGCGTAGCAGCGGTGGGTGGGGCAAAGGGTCCTTGTGAGACGGCGACGAGTGGTCGGTACCTTCCTTCTGCTCCTTCCCTCTCCCCTCCGGGGAAAGACTGGGACCCGGCATTGGGGCTGTCCTGTGGCTGCTGCGGCCTCAGCTACTGCCGGGCCGGGGTACAGAAAGTCCAGACCGCTTCCAGGGCCGTGCGTACTGCGCCTGCGCGGGCTTCCACCTAAGAGAGGGCGTGGGAGGGGAGGGGGCGATGTCCCAGGGGGATTGGGGCGGAGGGTCTAGATGTTGGGGGTAAGAGAAGGGATGGAAATAAAGATGAAAAACGAAGGAAGGGAGAAGCACTGGGGAGGAGTCGGGAAGTGAGAAGGGGGTTCTGGAGGTTGGGGGGTTGGGGAAGGTCCGTGGGAGTAGGGGAACCTTAAGAAGTGCAGGAGAGGGGCATGGGCTGGCTGGAGGACAGGGAGCAGCAAGCCTGGGGGAACAGCATCGTGTTTAAATAGGCAGTGATTGACGGGCCGGGAGAGAAGGAAGGGAACATTCTGGGGGTCGGTCAGCCTCGGCAGGGGCGGCGGGACCTGAATCCCGCCCTCGAAGCGCCATAGCTTGGCTCCTCTCCCATGCCTTGTCTTTGCCAGCCTTGTCCTTCTCTTTCATTCCTTCCCCGATCCTCTCCCCCTCCCACCCCTCCGTGAAGGAATCTCACATTCCTTAACATCCCTGCCCTTGGTCTGCAGCCTGGCCTTCTCGCTTAACACAACAGAAAGCCTTCCTCAATCCAGGACGCAGGGGGAGTGGGGAGTGTGCCGGAGAAGGAGCATAAAGCCAAGAGGGGTGAGGGCGTTTTGCCTGTGAGATTGACAGACCTTTCCCATTCAGAAACTGACTTTAATTCACCTAACAGCAGATGTGGCTGTTAATGAGGCCACTGTTCCTGGGGACTACCCTTTGATAGCCTTATTACTTACTATGCAGTGGTTTTAGAATCTGACAGAGGGGCAAGAGGCTGATAGTGTTCCTAATAGTTTTCCCCCAAATAGGAATGAAGTGGACTAGTGATAGGGAATATAAGTGATGCAATAACGTTACTACCTTGTGTGTGTAGCCGACCTTGTGGCTGGGCCTGGTTGCCGGTAATTGAGAAGGAACAAACTCCTTTCTGGCCTTCAGTACTCTAAATTTATTTTGCATTCTCTTTCTACAAATAATACCTTACTCCAGGATAGCAGTATTCAGTATGCTTTCACATTTATTATCTCATTTGATTTGTAGGAATACATCTCTCTCTCTCTCTCTCTCTCTCTCTCTCTCTCTCTCTCTCTCTCTATATATATATATATATATAGCAGGTATCATTTTCCTTACTTGACAGTGAAGAAACTGAAAAGTACAGAAGGGTTGCATGGCTTGTTTAAAGTTGTACAGTTGGTTGGCAGGCAGAGCCGGGACCAGAACCCAAGTCTCCTGACTCCTGGTCTTCTGCTCAGTTGAAAAATCCTGTTTTGTTCTGGCCGAGAGGGCATTGAAGTAGGACTGGTTTTCCCAGTGTGGGTAACTATTTGCTTTCTGAGTCTGGAACTTGTCATTAGGAGTCTGAGCATGGGCTGGCCCGTGGCTCACTCGGGAGAGAGTGGTGCTGATAACACCAAGGCCACAGGTTCGGATCCTATATAGGGATGGCTGGTGCGCTCAGTGGCTGAGCGCGGTGCGGGTGACACCAAGCCAAGGGTTGAGATCCCCTTACCGGTCATCTTTTAAAATAAATAAATAAATAAAATAAAAAGAAGGAGTCTGAGCATAGCCAACAGCACTGGTTCCTGGAAGCATTTATTGAGATATAGGGGCATGTTCTGGGGTGTTGGGAAATGGGTTGTTGTCAAAATGAAAAGCATTATACCCTCCTTTATATTATGGGTGGGAAAAGAAAGAGTAGTGGGGACAAACATTATCAACCCTGCCTGACCACAGGGAAGAGAAATTGTGTCTGACATTGCAGCTTTATCTCTGATTAGTTTAAAAGGACCATGCTAACCATGTTGTGGCTGATGAGCATAGTAAACTAATAAGCATGTGTACCAGACTCAGATGAAACAAATAGTCTCAATGTATAAAAATCATTAACTTATTCCTTCCTAATATGACCCTTAAGGCTGACAGACACTTAACTTAAGCTGTTGATAGTACTGGTGAGGAAAGGAGTTTGAATAGTTGCCATTCTCCTGCATATAGTTGAATATATCTTTCAGTACCCTTCATCTGAAGCTTTGTCTTCCTCTCTTTGGTTCCATCCTTGTAGTGATGAAAGTCTGGTCAGCCTACTCTTACTGCTATCTCTAGCTTTCCCAGTTGCCCACCCTGTAATAATTTCCACACTCCCTGCCTCTTCTTTTTTTAACTGATCTCAGAAATATTTCTTGACTTGGGAAATAGAATTGCACCTGTACCAGCATTCTTGAGCATCTTCTTTTTTTTTTTTTTTTTTTTTTTTTTTTTTTTTCCCC